CAGACCTGACAGCCCTGCAATTATTACTTGTACGGTGCAAATGTTTCCTGTATTAGCTGCCTTACCTAGTCCCAGAGCTAAAAAAAAAAGAGCCCAGATGTAAGAGCCACACAAATATAACGTTGATAACCAATTTGGTCCCCATTACCTACTTGTAACGTTATATGGAGTGTTACCTGGTCCCCAGAGCTTAAATCCCCTCAAATATGATCTGAACTGTGCTTTTCCTTGTCCCCAGAGGTAAGAGCCACACAAATGCAGTGAATATAGACGTAAAAGTTGACGTTTTTGCACGTAAATGGAGGGAAAGACGCAGGTAGCCCTCCCCACACTACCGAAACTGAGGTATTGCTGCAGCATATGAGTAGCAGTCCAGCCCTACGCGTCACTTCCGGTGACCTCCAGTGACCTCCGCCTCGTTCTCGACCTCTACCCTTAGCCCAATGTGAAAAAGTATCTCCCGAGCTGGTGCTCTTCGTGTGGCTGCAAATGGCGGAAAGGTCAAAATAGGGTTAGATGAAAGGTCAAAGTTCACTTAGTAATACCTGATTATCCCTGTGAAACCGCAAGTCGCCACATGTCTAAGCACAGTCATGTCTATATTGGTACATGTATAGTGAGTGGGACCTGATTCAGGGTATTAAAACGGTACATATTCTGGCATAGCAAAACAAAGGTTCGCAAACTATCCTTGACCTTTGTCTTCCAAAGACCTACCTGCCAAATATCACCGTGGAGGTAGACAAATCACATGTATATACTGATAAAAATACACACACGGACGCACAAACGCACCCTTACATTCAGAACCAGGGTTGGCCAGGGTGACGAAGACCCCTCTGCATGGTCAAGGTTGTGGCAGACGCACTACTGTGGCTGTACGAGTATACTAGTAAGTGATGAATCTTAACTTCTGAGCCGGGCGGAAGTATTGTTTTGGGTAGGAATGTCTATATGGGTTTGTGTGTATGTTTGTACAAACATAGGTGGGGGGTTAACATCCAGAATTACTGAGGAGGTCAAAAGGCCAGGCACAAGAAATGGGGTGGACTTGAAGGTCACAGAATGTGGCCACGAACCAGCAGTATTTAGAGGTCGAATTCAGAAAGCCTACGATTTGCGTTAAGTACGCCATACAATCTCTTAAGTTATTAGAATGAATTTCATTAAAAAAATTCACAATAACAAAAAAAATACTTCATGGAAGTCTGAAATGTCCTATTTCTCCTTTAATGACATAATTATAATGGATGGTCCCCGTTACAGGTTGTTTTCCCTTCATAACAAGCTAGCCGCAATGTAACGTTATATTAAAGTGCCCTTAACGTCATCACGGTGACTCTACTCAAATATTAGGGCTGCATGAAGTTCATGACATGTCCACTGCTTCTAGGAATAAAGCGTTGATAAAAGTGCCTTGTTGTTTAGAAAATAAAGTTAGTTTCCTATCCTATACTCAACAGGCACATCATCCTTTATGACTGATTAATATGATTAATAGGTGATATATCCACTTGAAAGGCTCCTGACAGTTGTGAAGAGAAGGAAACTTAAGTGGTACGGACATGTAATGAGATCAAATGGACTGTCAAAAACAATCCTTCAAGGAACAGTAAAAGGAGCAAGAAAAAGGGGAAGGCAGAAGCAAAAATGGGCCGACAACATCCAAGAATGGACAGGAAAAAATCCCTCGGAAACCCTAACCCTAGCTCACAGCCGAGAGGGATGGCGGCAGATGGTCAGACACTCCACCATGCAGTGCCCCCACGACCCTGACCTGGGTTAAGGGACCAAGGTACAAGGTACATATCCACTAGTACCGTGACATAACTTTCACAGTTCGCCTATTTATTTTAAAGACACACACAATCGATAGAACAATAAAAATGTAGTATACATTTCAGCACAAGGTCATTTTCAGTAGTGTGTAAATATACAGGCTTTCATTGGCAAGAACCGCACAAACCTGCCTATACAGTCTCAAATTATCATGAACAGCTGACCGTATCTATGTAAGCAGTTCACTACTTTTGTACAAAGTCATAACATCTGAGAAAATTTAGTCATCCATATATACCCTGCCCATGACGACAACAGTATGGACGTTGATTGTAAGCTGCGTGTCACAAGTAAGCAGAATCATATACGTTGGATTGAAAATTCTCAGACTGCTGACCTCACTACCAACATAGCTAGGTATGTTGTAAGTACACAAAAGCATAGTCTGGCCCGATTAGTTGTAAAAAAAGCATAAAAGAACAGTACCATACATTTTACAGACGTACTGCATTCACATTTATCGAATCTAGTACAATAGATTTCAACAGACCCGATGCATGCTTTGGGCAGATGTATATACTAGTATAGATATAATAAAATACAACAACTTTTACAGTGCAAAGATAGGTAAAAACATAAAAGACTTTTTTGTTATTAGAAAAAAATGGAGGAACACATGATAAGCCCTACTTGACTGTATACTATATTAGCTCTTGATGTTTAGTAATTAGGATATTAATTCTCATTACATACCCTTTTCTTTTTTTGTAGTATGTCCAATAGCCGTTGATATACATTGTACCATATACAACTGTCATGCAAAGTTTTTCTTTACAAGAAGTAGACAAAAATCTCGATTACTTATTTGATATAGGAAAATCTCTGATCTATGTATCAATAATCTAGCTGACCAATACATTCCTGTCCGATTAAAGGTTTCACACAAAAGAAATGTATATTAAAACTTAACAAAACATCTATCAGTCCCTACAGCTAAGGGCGCCCCAGGAACAGCGACAGGGGCACGGCGGCGATCAGCCCGATGATGTACAGGACCAGGCACAGGCGGTCCAGCACGTAGGACAGCAGCATCCACTCACTCTCCTCCTCCTCCTGGTCAGGACGGAGGCCTTCAATGGTGACGTTCAGGCGGTCCAGGCTCTTCCTGATGGCGTAGATCAGGGCCTGCATGCCGGGCAGCATAGCCGGAGCGTCTGGTGCACCCGGGGGAAGGTTGCCTGTGGGCTTGAAGTTGCCAGGAGTGCTCCACAGCAACTGCTCTTCACCATGGGTTGTAAAGGCGGCGTTGTCGTGAGTAGACCCCTCGATGTAGACTTTGTTAGGGGCCACCTCGGGCTTGCCGGATTCCTTAGTCAGGTTACCCATCAGGAGGCATCGAGCCATGCACCTAGAGGATCGACCAGAAACAGATTTATTATAACGATATGATAGCAGATGCGTGATGATATGTATCAAATAGCAGCCTAAAAGGTATTGCTTTCCAGTTCCAGTTGACATCCAGTTTTGCGTCTTATCTGTTTAATGCTTCACTGCCTCCCTCAGAAATACTTGTATTCAATTGTGTACACCGTAAAACGGCTTGAAGGGTGTCATTGACCTTTTCTTTGTCTGTATATATTGAATAGGAATGTGATTTATCTGAAGCTCGCAGAAATCCTTACTATCATTCAACAAATAGTTACGAATGTAACATTTCATTCAAGATCTGTACATGTTTAGACTGTATGTGTCATATCTAAGCAGATGTGATACCACACGACCGCACCTGAGGAACACACTCCGGACCCATGGGGGAACCTCGCCCTGCTTGCCTGACACGTTGATGATCCCGACAGTGGCCAGCATGAAGACTGCCATGAGCGACATGGACACTATCACGAACGTTCCTGCAAAGCAATGAACCAGAGTATTAAACTGGCGCCTGTCGTCTAATGCTAATGCTCGAGCACAAATAAAAGTAATATGCTATCAAGAAAACGCACTGTAAAAGCCCCCCCCCCCCAAAAAAAAGCCCAAGTCATAGAATCCCCTATTGATGCTAACAGATCCCAGTAGATAGCTGAGGTCTAAACTACATAATCGACTTCGACATCCCATCACTACTATATATATAGCTAGTTCTCACTACTAAGGTATTATACTTACTAGATTAAATTGTATAACCAAAGTCAGCAAACCTGTCAACATCGCTATGAGAAAATTTGGTCTAATATGATATCAGGACAACGATGTTCTGTCGTGTCTTACCGATGAAGGGGATGATGGTAGAGCGTGGCAGGAAGTCAGTGATGACGACAAGTGACACCACCATTGCCAGTAGAATAGCCATCCCGTAGGACAAGCGATCTCCCTGTGAGGAAAACACAAAGCAAATTCTTAGGTTTACGCACCAACTTTCCAATAGTTGTCCAGCTCCTGTATCAACAACTTTGTCTTTTCATGTTTGAGATTCAAGTGACCGGTAAGAGGTAAGGGATGAGATTACGTTAGGCGAAAACCCACAATAAACTGTGAAGTTGTTCTTGTGAGCGTGATGATTCGTGCTAACCTTGTCAATGGGAAGCAGGAATGTGACACACATGAGGACGGCCAGGACGATGGTCGGGGCGATGGTGGTGCACATGTGGTAGGTGGGGTTCCGCTGCAGGTTCAGGTTCAGACAGCCCGTGTCGCCGTCGCTGTCCGCGGTGACAGTGACCGACCACTCCCCGGTGACCAGACTCGCGGAGCTGTTGCAGTTCAGGTTGTTTTCAGCCGTGATGTTATCTGGCAGGGGGCAGCTCAGCCTTTCCTCTGTCATGTACAAGAAAAAATGTGATATTTATGTAAGAAAACAAACACCTCCATATTAACAAATCTTTATAGTCTATAATTATAGTCTATAATTAAATGTGCCATCGATGAGATATGCTTACTCAAAATCTCATAAGTAAAACAACCTGAACATTTTGAATGGAACTGAGCCAGCACAACATGTCCATACGGGATTTTCACAGCCTTTTGACTCATCCCATTGACCACGTCCATAAGTTATCAGTTCCAACCTTAAAATCCTGAATTAGGTGAGAGTCCTAAGATGAAAGTTGAAGTGAAGTTTCCTAGCCTTTTAGTAGTTAAAGCCATTACGATTTCCCCTCCGGTTTTAAAGCAAGTACTGAGTTCATTACCTTTGAGTCCCGTCTTCACGCACACAGGGCACGTCATGGAGTCAAAGGGGAAGAGGTACTGGTCCAGGTCACAGGTGGTGGTGACTAGGGTCTGCACCAGCCAGATCACCTCCCCTCCGGATGTAATGGTCACGTCCACGGTTGGGAAGCTGTTGAAACCTCTATCAGCACTAACAAGTGAATGAATGAAAGGTAAAACGGATGAGCTTGTGTTTCTTGTTGTTTCGTGTACATGAGACAGCCGCGCTTCTTCTAATTAGAACAGAGTGACCATTAACTGACCACAGATGGTCGTAGAAAATTGACGACCATGGCAAGTAGCTATATGTACTGTATATACAGAGCAATACGTCAGCTCCGTGTAACAGATAGACAATATGATATGATATGATATGATATACAAATGCAAATGTCTAGACTGAATGAAACACCAAAAGTTAAAGTTGAAACGGACTTAAGACGAAGATGCTATATGTGTAGTACTAATAGATATTCCATATGTACTGAAATGAACCTTGATGGGTACAGTACTCACTTTCTCTGCAGAACGACTGTTGGAGTCCAGACTTCATCATAGGACACTCGCAAGATGTCCAGGCCCCCGTAGGTTGCTGGTGACCAGGACAGCCTCTGGTCACGCCAACGCTGCAAGGTAAGGAGACTGACATTTACTGTCTTGAGTTAATGTACAAAGTCTAAAAGCTTCCGTATTTGCCTGAACAATCATCTGTAGATTGACAAAAATGATATGCTTTCGATATCATTTTTGTGTCAACTTGTATCTATCTAACATTGCTAATTCTCGCATACTAAATACATTGTACATGGACCCATGCTATGGGGACATGTTCCGGTTACTATTTTCCCCAACTCACCAATTCCAGGACAATATCAGTCAGTACCTCTGGCCCCTTCTCGTCCTGAAATTACAAATACAAAAGTCAATTTATGTTCCTATCGGTACTAACCTTTTTATGTATGGCAGCTCTTAGACCATTATCTTAATAATGCTACTTAATGTTAATAATTTGAAAATGCTACTTCAGGCATTCTTTTTTCTTCATCTTCAAGATAGCTACCACTTTTCCAGCTCATGATGACAGATTATATATGACCCTACCAATGACACTACGTTGATAGCTTGTCCAGAGAACACAGCTGTGACATAGTCGTCGGAGGGAGACAGGTCTTTGCTGTAGAAGTCGAAGAGATCGTTCCTCAGTCCCCGGCGCTCATCCACTGAGACAAGGAAGCAAATTCTAGATTTGTCAATGTCAAGTGAATATAACTTACACAACAGCACAACAAACGTTTCTTTCTATCTACTTCCGGATATGGCCAAGGCACATGCATCATTCACTCACCTGGATACGTTAAACAATCTCATGATCAAGAGAAGCCACAGAGCTCTCTAGAGCTACCAGGTCACCGATCCAACGCATAGAATCGAAAAACAAAACATGTTACTTACCGATACATGTAGGAAGATCGTTGTCCCAGGTGGCGTTGTCAAGGCACTTGATGACGGCAGAACCCTGCAGGGAGTACCCGAGATCACACTGGTAAGTCACCTTGTCTCCTGGCCAGTAAAACTGCTTCCGTGGTCCAGCTGTCACTGATCGGGGCTGGCCTCTGTCAGAGCAGACCAGACCTAAATGAAAGGAAATAGACACCATTGTTTGTCAATGCTTATTTCCTGTTATATATATACTATCATTATTGATAAGTATTACTAATTATTACTAATTACTCACCTCACCACCTCACCAGTCCCATATCCGTCGGCCGTAGGTGCAATACAACTTTCAACGAAGCGTTGAAAGTTTTGCTGAAAGTTGTATTATCTAATTACTAAATACTGATTATTACTACTTTTCCAAGACGTACAAGCTGTACCCGTGATGTGTTTACTAATGACATAGAAGTAACAGAAGGAAGTGTGTTGCTAAATGAATGCACTCACCGCTACAAGGCCGGACACTGCAAAACTCCCATTGGTCGCCCACGTAACACCACGGCCGCTCCCCTATGTTACCGGGGTTCCGGCAGTAGTTGTTGTCAAGATTGGCCCACTTGAAGGCTGTGGTCTCGTACACATGGTCGACCCAGTCCGTGCAGTCCTTCCCAGTCTCAGTCTCCATGTGGACGCCCCTGAAGTTGGCGCCCGATCCGTGGTAACATTCATCTGCACATATCGAAATTCAAATCATTCAGTACAAATTTCAGGACCCTTGAGACTAGACCTCACACAGAGATCATTCAAAACTCAAATAGCATTTAAAAGGTAAAAAAAGGTATGGTCCTGTAATTATTTTGTTTTGAAGTAAAGAATCGGATGTTTGGGTAAGCTTTTCTTTTTTGAAAATCGATCCAGATGCCTGCTGTTTCTCACACTTTTACAAGTCTAGAGTGAGAAACCAATGGTAAATACAATACTACACTGTATGACTACGTTGGATTACAAGTCAAATCTGTTTCCAATAAACGAATCTCAGGTCAACTCACTGTCTGTCGTTCCTTGCAGACCTCCTGTCTGACCGTCCTCGCCATCTTCACTGTTTTCACTGATGACGTGACATGGCGGGAAGCTTGACGGCCACTTATCCTCGTCCTTACAGGATTTCCTGGAGAATACACATGATACAAGCAATGACGTAGCGGTAAGGTAATACTTCATCAAGAGACACACAGCCATGACAGCCGGACTGATGTGCTGTCATTGTTTCTTGAAAGCTGGTGACGGCGAATCTAGAAACTGTTACTGAAAGTTAACATACCTGCAAGCCATGCAGTATTAGGGCTACCTACATCTTTGAATTGGGCACTCTGAAATTCAGGTTTGACGGTGAACACACGTCGTGACATGCATTTTCCCTTGTGTATATCTTATAATAAATGTGCTTATGATAAAAGTGTAACTCTGTTTAGTCTACCACCTCACGGTCTCCCACGTGCACATTACTGTTTTGTTTAAACATTAGACAAATTAGGGAGAAAATGATGATAAAGTTATTGATGAAATGATGTTTAAAGTTGACGACTGACCTGACTTCCTCACACCAGGACCTGCTGGGAGCTATGATGCGGGTTGTGATGCGGTCGCACCTCGGAGCCATCATCTCACACACAAACTCCACAATGTCCACGTGACACGAGCTGCTCATCAATATCTTCAGGCTGTCAACAATAACCAAAAAAGAAAAAACACGTGAGAATCAGACGATGCCATTACAAATTCATCAAAGAATTCATATCTATAAGACTCTGTCGGTTAACGTCTACTTCGGATATTAATGGGGTAACACGGTCCGCTGTATGATATCAAAGACAGAACATCAGTTGGGTCACGCTGGGTGTACGTAGTTTACAGGCTTATAAACTTTCGAATTTGGAAAATATTATGAGTGTCAGAAATGACACATTGTCTAATGGATTGCCGTCTAGTATAGCAGTTGACTAAGTCACCAGGTACTCAACGGAACCGACATCATCCGTCTATCCTGGGGGTTCGAGTTAGCCTTTAGAGTTCCGCCTTACAATGCATGTTCAGTACAACACGATACATCATATATCCACAACTTGTCGAAAAAGGGTAAAAGACAATTGTTACTATAACATAGTTTGCTTACTCATTGAAGACAGGGGAAGCAGCCAGGCTGCCGGGGGTCTCATGTCCGATGAGGTTAGGGAAGGTCATGTAATTTTCGGATTCCTCCCGACTCTCACAGAGCGTCTGTAGCTCTCCAGACAGAGGAACGCATTCTGAGGGGAAGGAATGGAAACATATATCTACCTAACATATGTCGGGAAACATGGTAACTTGTTTTCATGTCATTACTTTTGGTATACTCAACAAATGTAAACACATTGTTGGAACTTGCAGCAACTTGCGTTTGATGTGAAAGATTTCAATTCAATTCAATCTTTCGTCAAACAACTCGCAGACAATATTCTTAGCCTTAATTATGTTGTTCTGACAATTCAAAATGGTCTGTAGACCCACTGTACACTTAAAATAACATGTAATATAAATCTATCATCGGCAACGTTAAATAAAATACACATATAAAACAATTACACCATATCACACAGTCAACAAATAAAATGAAGAGGCATCTGTACCGATCGGTCACACTTTGTACAATGTACTGAGGTTGTAACTGTATAGGTGCATTCTTTAGCATCAACCCATCATTATTGCTATTATATGTAGTACTTTTGGGGAGACTCAGAGTGGGGCTAAATGAAGGACGTACAGCGACAACAACGTTAACAACTCCTTACCGCAGTCCTTCTCGTCACTTTTATCCCAGCAGTCAAACTGCCCGTCACAGCGGCGGGCCATGGACACGCACAAGGCGCCGTCACTGCACGGCTTCTCACCCACACCACACGACAGAGGAGCTGGACATGTCATGGGAAAAGCAATTATGACTGTGATTCCAGGGTTGAAAGACTTTTGACAGAAATTATTGAAATCACTACGTTCTTGGTCACTATAACTATTCTGTGTCGTTTACCTATCTGCCGTGAATCCTTCAAGTAATTCGTCATAGAAAGTTAACATGTCAAACATGTGACGCATCCCTGTACTGAGGTCAGCTCACTGCACGTACATGGTAGTAGAAAGATATCTTAAGCGCAATTTCCATTAACACAAAGAATTGGACATGCCGAAATGTTCGAATTTGTGACACACGTCTTTGTGAAGGAATGACAGCGGTGGATCCATTCCAAGACTACCGTCGTGCAGTCGAACATTTGGGTACGTTTGTGACTTGATTTGCTAACCTCGGTCAACTGTGGTGTAGGAGGCATCGAAGCCTTCCCTGGTGGTGCCCTTATCACTGGAGAAGATGATGGTCAGGATATAGCTGTCACCTGTCACGTTGGTCCCGGGGACGACTTCACCACAGAGCTTATCTGTACCGGGGTACAAGTGTTGCGTTACTCATGCGACCTTCATGGGGCTTTCGTAAGTACTTCTTCACACGCAGATAACTTGGTTATACACAGGTTCTATAGTGTGTTTTATGTGTCCTAGAGACTAGATTAGAAGCCATACAACGCAATTATGTGTGATAAATGTGTAGCAGGAATGTTAGTTGGTCAACATTTATCAGATGGATAGACTTAGATAAGACTATAGATAAATATTGTGGATTGCCGGTGCTTCTTTTGTCCGAACGAAAAGTTGCATAGAATGTTTACCTTTGGTTTTACCGCGATTCACTGAAATAACAAAAACAAAACTGGAAATCATAAAAACATTCCCACAGAAAACAATCATAACGAAACGTAAGCAATGCTTTGACTAAAATCAAACCAACAAATAGAAGGCATTGTCGTGCATTATTATCTGTCACCATAGTATAACAATGACATTCCATTAAAAACTTAGGAGAAAATGTATTCATGACACAGAATTGCCAGATATACAAAGAGGTGTCACAGACGTCTAGGGAATGTAGGAGCTATATCTACATGTAGCTGATAATATGCATATGGCGTGGTGCACACAAGATACATAGCTGAATAACAAACATTAGGCAAGCGATCAATCGATTTTCCTGTGTCTGGAAATAAACTATCATAACCTACTGGTGACGCTTTTGAACTTCCCGTCCGGCCATTCTCCGTCAAAGATCCTGACGTAGTCAAACGGGCAGTCCCCCGGAGTGGGCCCCTCCTCCAGCTTGAAGGTGTTGAAGGTGATCTGCGGGACCAGGGTAGGGGAGACCCGGAGAGACCAGACGCAGTCTGTGTTCACGCTGTACGGTATCCTCTCGAAAAAGCCTGGCGAACTGAAGGTCCCCTCATTGCCGGACAGGACACCTCCACAGACGCCTGCGACGACAAGGAAGAAAATGTGATCAGTGACCATCTCTTAACGTTACATCTATCAGTCCCAAGACAGTCAATAGGTGAAGCGGGTGTAAACAGGACTTCTAGCATATGGAATGGCTTATAGTTCAGTGTTCTGTATTAGGATCATCTTCTATAAGTTCCATTTAATGTGTCTAGTCATTTGTTTTCGACCACCTTTATTTTACCCGTTAACGTCTTCATCATTACCTAGACCAGGTTGACTGACTTATAACTGAAAATAACATTGCTGTATTATATTTCCTTCCTACCGGACAACCCGACGCGGATCTATTACTAGCATACTTTTTGAGAGCAACGCCTTTGGCCAATTTACATTGCTTCGCTTTGCTTAGCTTCAGGCTATTACATACCGTCTTGTCCGCCGGTTGTTGTCTCCTGGGTGTCGACGACTTCAGCCCGGTTGATGAAACAGTCGGCTGAGAACGGCAGGGTTCCACAGATGTCGTCGGGAAGCAGGTTCTCGTCCGAACAGCTAGTACTGATCTGAGGGCACCACGTCCTACAGCACAACAGTAAATACCCATTTCGCACCCATGTTTTACCTGGTATCCTACTATAGCTACGAGACTGAGTATAATTCGTCCTCACCGCAAACAGGACGAAAGAGCTATGATAAGTTTAGATACCAGGCAAACTGGTACCCTATACTTGAAGTTTAGTGTATACAGACGTTTCAACGACAATTCCCCCTAATTTTTTCTTAGAACCGCTTGAGACGAAAACGTATTTTAGACACAAGGCCCTGCCTGAATGGTCGCCTTTGGTTTCAAGTTGTCCGTAGCTGTTTCTTTAATACATGTTACAACTTAATCTGCATGCTTTCAGTTTAAAGACGTACCTGCAAGGCGGTTTGATGTAGCCTCTTCTGGTGCCAGTGCTGGTATCTACTCCCTGCACGCATTTTGGAGCAAGCATGGAGCAGACCATGGCGAACACATCCGCGTGGCACGGATCAGACGAGGCCTGGACGGACTCCAGCTGACCAAAGATGGCGGAGCCCAGGAGAGCTGTCTTGTCCTCATGCCCGTACAGGTTCGGGTAGACCATGCTGCCGTAGTTGATTGCACCCTTGCAGATGCCCAGGGCTGTCGGAATCTCTACGCATTCTTGAAAAAAAAAGATGTGGGGAGTTCCCATGCATGCAATCAGACTGGCAGTGCAACTTATAATTGCAATGGGCTGTCGTTAATCGTACAATAAAATAGCGATTTTGATCATGATCACAAAGTCGATGCTGTACTATCGAGAATGCCGATAGGTTTAAAAAGTATTGAAGCTATCTCACCACAATGCCGTTCGTCACTCTTATCCTGGCAGTCGTCGGAGCCGTCGCAGATCTTGGCGAGAGCAACACATCCCAGCAGGTCGTCACACAGCTTCTCCACGGCCGTGCACTCCGCTGGCTCTGGGTAGAAAAGCAACAAGGACCGGTACTTAGTTTGCTGTCCAAGCAGTCGACATAGATAACCTGAAGGAGTCTGTTAACTGTTTTGGTTACTGAAGTTACCAATAAACAAATCATAGAGAAAAAGAATGACATAATCGCCTACATGATACGAGTAAGACTACGGCAGTCTCAGATGAAACAACCACTGAAACGCAAAGGGACGAAATATTTTCTCAACGCCGAACTCTGTTCCCAACCCGTTATGTACAAACGGACAACACGTGAAACATACCTTTGTTAACGGCCGCGAAACTTGCTTGGAATCCCTTTCGGTTGACCCAAGAGTCGGATGTAAACTTGACAGTCATGACGTTACTCACAGAGGAGTAGCTTTTCGTCCATGGCAAACTGTCGGGTTTCTCACCGCAGAACTTTCCTTGGGAAGAAGTTTCAACATAAAATGGCGTTATATACGCTTGATATCCATACTACTGCAATTTACCGAAAACAGTTAAACTTTCATATTTCAATATGATATAATATCATTTTATTAGGCATGTAAAGTTCACTTGCTAGTTTGCCATTTAAGTAGCAAATTAGAAGGTAAAAAGCTGGGATTTTTCATCCTTGATATGGAAACATTAGCTTTTCGAGTACAATATTGGATGATGATCAGACTTTTCCATACGTTATACCGCGTGTGTTTAGTCTGGTCCGTAGCTGTGACTGCCGTTTGCCAGAGAGAAGTTTGTCATTACTTACCGTCTTGAGTCCTTTTGACCAAGTTTACACCGGGAGGTTGTTCGGGGTCGCCATCTAGTTCCGTAGTTTCTTCTGGAAATTAGAAATTTCATGGGATGCAATAATCCGAAACACATGATATTCCAATAGTCAAAGTTTGCAAGAATGGCCCAAAGCGTAGAGATTCTAATTTTTCTCTAAAATGGAGAAACAGAACGCTACATTTAGCCATTGACCTACCAGGAACGCTGATTGGTTGTGCATTTTCTTCAAGAAGCACGTAGTCGTAATCACAGTTGTCGTGGTACTCGACGTCAAAGGAGGAAAACGTCAGTTGCACCTTCTTCTCAATGTGAACCGTGATTATCCAGCTGCAGTCCACGTCCCGGGGATACACGTTGTTGGGAAAGGCAGTGCTGGGATAGTTCGGACTGGAGAAGGACTGCGACGACCCCGATGAGTCGTTCAGGTTCGTTGGCTCATCACAGCCTGGAAAATGTCATTTCTTAGGTTCATACGACCCGGTGACATTCATCGTATGATTAAAAACTATTACTGGGGTATACGTAGTCGGCCATATGCGATACAAATTGGACCTGTCTTGTTACGGACAATGCTATCTTTGGTCCTAGTCTGCCGCTGGTTCTGTCACAGCCTGCTGGAAAAGTCTACAGCATCGATTGCAAAATCATACATCGGACGACCTACGATTAATGCGACCGCGTCGTTAGTTAGTTCCAAATGTATGTTTCTGGCGTCTGTGCGAGTTGTTGAAAAGCCGAACATAATCAGTAGAAGCAGGTAGTTTACTCAATACATCCATGTAATTTTGGTGACAACCGGATCGTGGCTAGCTACTGGTCCGATCCTAGAGAATACCACGCGAGCGGTAGCCTGGATGCCAGACCCAGCACGCTAGGCGATACCAGTTCCTTTGGCTATACCCTCAAGAAAAATACGTCCCACCCAGAACTAGTGTGCGAGGTTTCTAAAGGGTCTAACTCAATCAATATCTGGCCTATGTAGGCCCTGGGAACAGGCTGGCATCCAGGCTAACCGCGCGGATGATCCCGAGGTACAGACCGGACCGCGGACTGTATGGCCCGCGGCTAACAGACGTCCGCCGGCCGGCGGACGGTCTGACTCGACCGGACTCACCACAGACGTCCAGCAGAAACAAACCTATCTACCACTGCAGTGATAAGGGCGAGTAAGCGTACATCACAAGGTATGAGTTGCCGCGTTTTGTCCGCCTGTATCATAATAATAGAACTGTGAACTGTGAAAAATACCTATCGCCTGAATCTCACAAACTCCAGACGACGAAGATCTTTTTTGTTTACTTTAGGCGTTTTGTATTCTTTTTGTGAATTGGAGAGCTGCCCATGTCTCTGGGTGGTACAAGAAATAAAATAAAATAACAAATGAGTTTGCCATTAACATGGTAGATTTGTTCATCTATAAAAGCCACCTCCATTCGGCATTATGAAAGCTTGGAGGTAAATCATGCGATTTTTTACCTCCATGATGAATGTTATCCCTATTCGTGACGAGAATGTTTGGTATCCACAAAATACCACAAAGCAATGAGATATTGAATGAATTCTTTTATGCCTTTATCATCCAGACACCGGGGGTGCAATCTACATGCAAGACAAATGTAGAGTTCCTACCAACCAGAACATAAACAATGTAAACAATAGTACATGTTATTTTAGACACCCAACGTTGGACTGGAGGAAATGTACTCTTTTAGATGTAGAACTAGATCGCAACCATGTCTAAAAGTTAATTTCATTTTCAAACATTAAAGACAGGGATTCCTCCCCCTGCATAAGTCATCGTGATCTATTCAATGTATCATAGTATGAACACCTTGTACATTTTTTGGACGCCAACCTGAAATCCAGCCGCGAAAGCTATATCCGCCCTAATCTACAAACGCCTCTCCGCTCTGCCGTGAGCCCCTGTCACACATTCAGGACCTTCGTATGACTTTGCTCCCGACCACGCCCCAACAAAAGTCGGCGGTGAGTTGGGGTTAGCCTGGAATCCATCCTTTTCTAGCTCCGCTCGCGTCTCAAATTAAATCCAAGAACATGACTTTCCCATGCCAACGTTTAACTTTGATTTTTTCAAAATTTATAGTCAGCTGGCGCAGATGACTTTTAAAGAGTAGTAGGCAGCCTCGCCACTCAACTTCCAACAAGAGACGACCATGCTCATGTTAGTAAGTCACAACTATAGCCTGGACAAGGTCGGGGGCCATGGTTGTCTATATGTGAAGGCAGGTAGCTCGAGTCGGCTACTGTTTTCACGGCTGGATTCTAGGATAACGAGGCGGCTCGTCTTTTGTAAACTACACGCACACAAGACAGGACGAACCCCAGTATTTGTGCCACACTGTAGAGAAATAGGGCCGACACTAGTAGTTGTGCGACACTGAAAAGACAGGACGGACTCCAGTCACAGAGGACCCCGGTACAAATATGTCGTTGTGCGACACTCTAGAAGACAGGGCAGACCCCAAGTAGTTATTATACGACACTGCATATATATAAGAAAACAGGCGAACCTACTCTCCAAGCAGAGGTTTGTGTTATTATTGGCGTGTTTTTAGACTTTTTTATCGGGGTTTCTTTTTTTGCACTCAACCCAACGAAAAAAAATTCCAGCGCAAAAAAGAAACCCCGATAAAAAAGCCTAACAACACGCAAAAAATAACCCAGAACCCAAATAACCTTTGCTTGGAGAGTAAGGCGGACCCAGCCTACCTGTAGTAGACACCCTCGCTGTGCTCTGAAGCAGAAGGACAAGGAGGGCTGCTAACTGGAGCCGCTCACGACGGCCCGCCATCGATGCCACCTGTAATCGAAATGAAAAGACAACTAAGACGATATCTTTGGCTTTTGAAACCTATAGAAGGGTTAACAAGTAATGCGCGTTAAAGAAACACTCTTACAGTACTGTGCGACCCATTTCTAAAACTCAACAAGTTATGCTTGTCCATGCAGATGTTGTCCATGAAGATTTCATTACAGGTAAGAGAAGATGCCAAAGCCTTATACCTTCAAGCTTTTAATGAAGGGCCAAAATATCTATGAAAAAATAAGAAATCTATACTATTGATAATAAAGTTCGGACAATAAAGTTCTTTGATATAACAAATGTGTGAGTTCTTAGTTCTTATAGGCGTAACCCAAGGCCGCCCATGGAATTCGAAGGACACAGCTGTAACTGCGAGACTTACCTTGAGCGGAAGGGCAATAAGGCGGTCTTCTGCAGCCAAATAAATCCCAAACTTCTTGCAGCACTTTTATAGCTGAGCGTCCAACTTCCGTGCAGTTTTCATCAGTAGACAGCTCACGTGAGAATTCGTCCGCCTTTGTGGGGACGAAGTGGTTAAAAGCGTGTAGGGCACGAACCCACGCCCTAGTGTGGACAGATGGGAGAGTGGAGATGTGAGTCCCCTCTTTTGTGAGAGGCGGGACTGTTGGCACGCATTCTGGCGACATGACATGCTCTTTGATGTATAGTGCCGTGCATTTGAAGGGACTGTCTCACAGGTCCTATGTCATTCCAGTACGAAGATAATTTGACGAAGGGGTAGAAATACTGACAGTTTTTCAGGGAGAGGCAAAGGCGTAGGCGACGCAGTAATTTTCGTGCAACATTTGGCCGCCATCCTTCAACTCTTCAAAGATGAAATATGTATCAGGAGACTTGTGATACATGTACATCTCATACATCTTACACACTTTACACATACTTAACTTCATGTATGTAACCTCATGTCAGTACAGACTCTTGACGTATTTTGTATTGTCATATTGTAACAAAAATGAAAATCTAACCTCCTTAACAGAAATATGTATTTCGATATGGACTTCCATCGCTGAACATGGCATCCCTTTTACAAAATATGTCGGCGTGCAAGTATTACAGGGTCTCAGATGGAAGGAAGCGGGAGTAAAGAAACATTCTGATCTGAAACCCTTCACAACTTTTGACATCACCCCTCAAAAACAGCGGAAATGAAATGCTATATCCATCATTAGCTATCGTCGCCATACATAATTAAATAAGCATCAATATTTACCTGAAAGCTCTGAGAGACTTTCTGTTATTTAAACTTACCAAGGACACCATGTCCAGGTGTCCTAATGGATGTTATGGAAACAACATTACAAATTGAAAATATTTTCATCAAAAGATGCACATGGAAAAAGTTTTATTCTAAGAGGTTTATTTAAGGACGCTTTTTGGATAGTTGTCTGCCCAGACGGATTGACAAATACCACAGAAACAACGCTTTGTCTGTTATTACCACATGCCATGATAGGGGCCGGGGGTGTGTCAGCTGAAGACGATAAAAACAATTGTATTCACGTTGATATTGTACGCATGAAGCGAAACGCACTGCGTGTCGGCCAATGTTTTCATTTTAAAGTAAGGTTTGACCCCGCAGACCTCAAATACAATAAGATGACTAGACGCGGAGTGCGCGCATAGGTGAACATCAAGGCGGGAAATTCCTCAACCTGCTAAATCAACTCTATGACTCAATCGCTTTGTCAGAGGTAAACCCTCACTGGACCTTCCATCAAAGAGTTGAACAATTCGTTACAAGTAATGATGTCCCCAGTATTGTAGGAAGCATCAAGAGAGAGCTGTGTGTAAGGAACTTAATCTTGTCTGCTTGCACCTGTGACAACACCTAAGATACACAAGGTTTCTGTTAAACTACGTTTTTATGCAAGCTTCATTCTCTTCTCCTCGGGCATATCCGAGTATATTGTGGTTCCTACAGACAACAGAAACGTTTACAAAAGGAAAGGAACTTGCTGACGTTTCAAAATATACAAACTACAGTGAAGTATCATGGCATCCCACGTATTCATTTTTGAAGGCATTTGTGGGCAACCGTAAATTTAGACTTAACGGGAGGGTTTTCTAAGATAAACAATGATCTTTTGATGTCGGTTTATTGTGTTAACTGTACATTCTTTCATTCAGGCATTCGGGATGTTGCTGAACAGGATATACGAACTGCATTATGCTTTTAGGAACAAATAACCAGTACACATTCCTTGTCTGTACGCCTCAAGATACAGCATTGAGTATTCTCAGTATTTGTACAATGCAACAAAAACACACAAGTGTTCCACTAATTTCCCCTAGATAAAAGGTAGTCGTCAAGCCCGATGATGCTTTAAAATTCGATAAAATTCACTACGAAATTCATGATGATGAATAGTTAGACCGTTTTATGAATCATTTAGATCATAAACATTCATAAATCTGGCATGTTGCCAGGCGTCTGTTCACAATCAAGCCCGTAACACAGTAAAGTCGCTGATAGTAGACATGAACCACCGAGTTCACCAGACCACCCTGTGGTCAAGCCTGTCCACTCGTCAGCCTGACCAATGACCATCCAATAGTGGTTAGTAATACTAGACCATTTGCCCCTGTCACACATTTAAGACCTTCTCCCGAATTTGATCCCGAACAAATTCGGGAACACTCTGACCAGATTTAAGACAAGCCTACCTTTCTATACGAATTGAAACGAATTTGAGTTAAATTTGAGTCAAATTTGACACCCCGAACATGACAAGAACACTGCTGGCTTACTCTCGAACGGTTGTCTGGTGTTTTGCTAACTTACAGCCGAGCAGCAGCCAACTATGATCCAACCTTCCGACCTACCCCCCGAATGATTCTAAACATTTTTAAATATTCGGCTGAAATAGTGGCCGAATTCGCCAAAAAACAGCCGATTTTG